ATGAACTAAGGCACATATCAAAGCAAGAGCACAACAAATCTTGAGGGCTAACAGGAGAAGAAACTTGATACTTAAACAGCCTATTATGAGCTGCCGTACAATCTCTAGTATCTAAGCTCATGTGCATAAGAATGTCAGAAACATATTATAAGCAAAGATAAGAAAGTGCCTCAAGGAACAATTTTTTACTCTACAAAACCATAAATAAGCAATGACCGAATGAATGGAGCAGTTAAACTGTGATAAGAACCAAAATCTTCTTGTGGTGTGATAGCTATTTTAACTATTCTCAGTGCAACAAAGAGATCAGAATTCCAATGTATTAAATCCAAAAGGCAATGCATGGAGCGGCGAGGCACTTGGACTTTCAAATTCAAATTATGCTTGGAACAAGTGTGGCTCAGATATAGACTAGGGAAAAATAGAATACCATGAAAGACACTTGTTAAGATCTGTTGTAACATAGGACATGGAATAATATCATGTAAATTCAAAGAATTTAACATATGAATAGCTGATGCTCAGGTAAAGATATAGAAGGGAAGAACTATGCCTCTTTCAAGACATAAATTACATGAAAAGTACACATGTAAATAGACCGGGGATCAATTTTGTAAGGGACTAAGCTGGTAGACAAATACCACAGAATCAGACAAGCAAGGAAGCAGAGGAAGGCAGCTTCTTAGAAGAGTGTAGTCCCTGGCAAGAATGTATTGCTCCTAAGAAGTCAGTTCCATTAGATAAACCAATAAGCTGTAGCATCATTGACTAGATTTCTGTTCTTCCATTTTTTAAATCAGAAGAGCTGGAACAAGACAGATGAATCATCCTTAGTCAGTCAAAAAACAATAAAAAGGAAATTCTTTTGTATTGTCGTAGTAAATAATGCAAATAGATACATAAAATTTCAATTAAAAAGAAGAATCAAACATAAAAAGCAACTCAGAGTGATCTCTTCATAATAGAGCCACATTGCTCTTAGATAGTCACCCATAAAAGAGACAGTGACACTATAATGAATCCCCATCCCAAAAGTGAGATGACTCGGACCAGAACATCTAAATGAGTTAACCTAAAAAGACTAAACTTAGTCTACCGGCCACAAAGAAAAAGAAAAGAATAATGCTTTCCCCATTGCCATAACAAGCAATCTATAATAGGCAGACGATACATAATCAAAACGAACTAATTTAACCAATCCATAGAAGAACTTCCCTAAGAATGACCAAAATGTGAAGAAATGTAAAAGCAACGGAGATGATTGTGAGACCCAGGCCTAAGACCGAGAGTTTTCAACATGGGGATCTTAATTCTAGCCTCAAGAGCATAAGGTCAACCAGACCGAACACCAGAAATTCTCATTCCCAGAGAGAGAGAGCTTCATACGAATTACCTTTTGCATAAGACTGAAGAGTAGCCAGAGTCGGAGATGGACATGATTCTGAGCTTATGTCGTTCTTTCTGCTCTGTGTTCATGTTAAGGCGGAGTGATACTTGGGTGGGAAGATCCGCTGCAAGTCAAAGAAGAGCGCTACGTTAGGAATGAAGAGTTCTCGCCAGACCGCTCCGCAGCGTCTCGTTCCTTCGATTTCGACTCGATCGAGCGAGATTCGCGCAGGCCGCGTGCCCTAAACAGACAGCCGCGTTGCGCACCGCTGATTGCACCGAAGGAAAAAGCTAACGAGAGAAGGAATCGAAGACTCACGAGCCCCTTTGAAAAAACGGAGACGGCAAAGATGGAGGGCCAAATTGATCGCCGCCCTGTGTGGTGGCTATTTCGGTGCTGTCGCGAGGAGGGAAGGGCGCGGCGGCGGTTCCGGTGCAGTCGCAAGGAGGGAAGGACGCAGCGGCGGTTCCGGGGAAGGATGCGGCGACGATTCCGGTGCAGTTGCAAGGAGGGAAGGAGGGCATGAAGAGCGGAACGAAACTGAAGAGTTGAAGGAGAAGCTAGAATACATCCCGGAAGCAAAGAAGCTACTTTTTGTAGCTTATTTTTTTCGGTGAAAAACGCATTCTGAATGCGAGAATGCATTCCGGAACTAAAAAAAGAATGTGTTTTTACCAAACGAATTTTTTGTCCAGAATGCAAAAATTATTCCAAAATGCATTCCGGAAATTTTTTAACAAACGTTATTCTGTTCCGAAATGCATTCCGGAGCAAAAATTTTGCTCCGGAATGCATTCCATGCGCACGCTTAGGGCGTGAATAGTAACCATTCTGCTTCAGAAATCAAATTCTTGCTAGAAATTGATTGCTGGAATTCTTGCTAGAAATTGATTTCTGGAGGAGAAATCTGTTGGATAAAATATGACTAATTCTGCTCCAGAAATTGATTTCTGAAACAGAAATCTATTTTGATTTGTTGATTTTTTTGGGCACCTCAAAAAAATTAAATTTCACTCAAAGTGGGTGCCCAAATGTATTCTAAGCCATTTTGTGAAATTTTGAAATTTTTTATTTTTTGATTTTTTTGGGCACCTCAAAAAAATTAAATTTCACTCAAAGTTGGTGCTCAAAAGTATTCTAAGCCATTTTGTGAAGTTTTAATTTATTTTTTATTTTTTAAATATTTTTGGGCACCTCAAAAAAATTAAATTTCACTCAAAGTGGGTGCCTAAAGGTATTCTAAGCCATTTTGTGAAGTTTTGAAATTTTTTATTTTTTGATTTTTTGGGCACCTCAAAAAAATTAAATTTCACTCAAAGTGGGTGCCCAAAGGTATTCTACCATTTTGTGAAGTTTTGAAATTTTTGATTTTTTGATTTTTTTGGGCACCTCATAAAAATTAAATTTCACTCAAAGTGGGTGTCCAAAGGTATTCTAAGCCATTCTGTAAAGTTTTGAAAATTTTGGTTTTTTTTATATTTTTTGAAAAAAATTCACCAAATTTCCTATTTTCCCGAAATCTGACTTTTTTTATTTTCTGGAAATTTTATGAATTTTTCTGGAATTTTTCAATTTTTATGCATTTTCTGAAAAAAAATTAGTGAGATCTCAAAATGTGTTGTAAAGGCCACAAAAAAGAGAGAAAATAGGGAGAATGCATTCTGGAATCAAGAAGCTACAAAAAGTAGCTTCTCTTTTTCTTGCCCAAAACTCATTTTGGAATTAAAAATGCATTCCGGAATCAAGAATGCATTCAGGAATCAAGTATTTTTAATAAGCGCATTTTTATTCCAGAATGCAAAAATTGCTCCAGAATGCATTCCGGAAATTTTTTAACAAACGCATTTCTGTTTCGAAATGCATTCTGGAGCAGAATTTCTGCTCCAGAATGGATTTCATGCGCACCCTTAAGCTCCCGCGTCAATAGTGCATAGCTCGCCCGATTCCTTCGCTAGAAGTTGCTGAGCTGGGATTGTGCATATCGTTTTCGATCCGCACGCAGCAGAACCGACGGAGAAATTCTCTCTCTAGGGAGCGATTCTCTTGGGCATTTTCTGTTTCTGACCGTCTCCAGACGCTGTTCATCGCCGCTATTTACTCGTTTCTGACGCCGTGCATCGGAGAGCTCGGCTCTGCTTTGTTACTCTGGCCACGAACGTGGAAGTGGCTCTGCTCCTGCTCGAGATTCCTTTGCCGGCACCGATTTTCATCGCTGGTGCGCTGAGGCCAAGAGTTGTAGAGTTTTCGCCGGTCAGCGTCAATCTCAAGAGGGTGCAGAACTGAAGGAAGGAAATTACTTTTGTTCCGGTTCGTGGCTGAGAGAGAGAGAGAATACGAGAGAGGAACAGCTCGAAGGCAAAATTTCTCTAGTCGAACCAAGTGCGAGAGGCTTGGAGAACACGATGCTGAAATCCGCCATTTACGGTCACTAGCATTCGCCGACGATCGCCTTCCCCTGGTTGCCGCCGGAGTTACGGATTTGGGAAGACGTTTCGTGCACATCTGTCATACAAGCGAGAGCCAAAAATCCAGTGGAATGAAAATTTGCTTCGTCTTTAAGCTTTCTCCATCGTTTCTGAACGCTGTCCGAGGCACTGAAGACGCAGTTGCAATGCTCTGTTTTGGCTCTGTTACCGCAGCCAAAAAGCCTTGAAGTAATTGGACTTTGCTTGATCCTACTTCTGCAGCATCAACCACCAGCGAAGACATCTTGGAAATTCTAGTTCTCATTCTCAGTTCAATCGGTGTTCCTGGCCATTGGATCTACAGGTAAGAATATTCTTAATCTAATGTGGCTAATCGAGTATGAGAAATGTGGTTGAGGCTCATGGAAATTCGTCCCTGGTAAAAGCTTTATCAATGTTTTAAATGTGTATTGACGCTGTAGTGATGCTGATAGTGATTCTTTGCCTTATTGTGTGTAGAAGTTCATTAATCAAAGCGCATGCCACCTATTCGAGGAAATATTTGAGTGAAATCAGAATGCATGTTCTCTAAAGGAAACAAGTTCCATTAGCCATTTCGTTCAGTGTTTTACTTCTCGCCATCTAATCATAGCATCCTCATGTATGTATATGTCCTTTTTCATAATTAAACCGAGAGCCATATCTTGTCAACCCATATTCCTTTTTATCATGCATGAATTGATTCATGTTGTTTGTCGATTTAAGGATTTACGTGGAAACTGTATTTCATAGCTCTCAAATTACCATGAACAAGATCGATCAATTGAGTTGTTGCTCATATGGTTCATTCTGAACATCCTTTATAAAAGGGCTGAGCACATACAATCGAGCCTTGGAATTTGGAATGGAACAACCGAGTCGCTCATTAACCGTAAGGGAGTACATCAATGATGTTGTTTGGCTGTCGAATATGAGGGAAAGGGAGGAAATTCCTGAGTATCTAGAAGCGCCGAACCAACCACTCATAGTAAATGAAAGTAACACCAATGATGAGATTCAAAAAGCTTCCGAGTTTGTTTTTCTCGTCCTCTTTTATAGCTAGATTTTAACATGGTTTTCTCTTGCAGCTATACAACCACTAATTGAATGCCAATTGACTTACTTTATAGGTATTATTTAAAAACACATGCAATGATCCTGAGGTCGACCTCGAGTGGCGCATCATGCTTAGCGTGGAGCAATCTCCTTGGTCGTGCTCATCATCGGGGTACTCGTCATGCTGGAATTTCCCGGGGCTCATCATGCAGGGCTGTCTAGGCAACGCGAAGCGTATCCTTGCCAAGAACTCTAACTCATTGCTGAGGTCAATATTGGAAGCCATAGCGGAAGGATCTGCGATGAGCAGCAATGTCACAGTGGTCCTCTGTTAGATGAACCCAGGCAAGCGTTCTCTCTCCAGACACAGAACACTTCCTTGTGGGAGAGAGATGGAGCAAGGAGGAGATCATATGGGATGCTCTATGAATTAGCAAAAGAACTCTTCTCATCAAACAATTATATCACACGAATCCTTCGGCAATTTTTTTGACATCTTCCTCTTTTGTCCCTTGATTCTCAACCTCGGGTGGCGCGGCATGCTTAGCGTGGAGCAATCTCCTTGGTCCTGCTCATCATCAGGGTACTCGTCATGCTAGAATTTCCCGGGCTCATCATGTAGGGCCGTCTAGGCAACGCGAAGCGCATTCTCGCCAGGACCTCTGACTCCAAGGAGGAGGCCGTGCCGACATTAAGGAGGCTGCCGGTATCCCTAAGAAGTGCAATGAGGACTTTGTCAAGATCACCAAGCAAAGCACCGGAGAGGGCATGTGGTGGCATCTCCTCCTCCACCTGATCCCGTCCGCCCGCCATAGGCTCACCGGAGAGCATTTGTGAGGATTAATCTACTTAAAGATATTACAATCGATTTATAGTATATATCAATATATAGTTTTTGTAAAGTACTTTTTATTTTTCTTTATTGTTCGTCTATCTCATATTTAGAATTTCACAATGATTGTCATTAGTATAATTTCAAGAAAATAAAATATTTTTGTACAAGCCGAACACACAAAATTAGGATAGGAACCTAGTCAATACGAATCTACTAAAATTTTAAAAGATAAAATTCATGCAAAGCATGGCTTACACAATACATTCCACAGGCATGTGATGGCATTTTCATAATCCATGAATTATCAAAAGGTCCATCATTTTAAAATAGACAACGCGTAATAGAAGTTCTTGCATTTCAATTAGTAAGGTAAGCTTAGCAACAACCCATAATGGAGTTTCAAGTGGATCAACAGATCTAGTAATGTTGCTGCTCATGAGCTTGCAAAATGGGCTTTTTATCATTTAGGAAATGCTTCGTCTTTCTTTTTTAATGATCTCCCACCTAGAGTCAAATACTTAGTGTTAGCGGAGTCTTCCTTAATTTATTGTGTTGATGTAGGCTATAACTCTTCTGTGTAATATTGTACTTTTCTGATGCAATGGAAGGTTCGATTTAGCAAAAAAAGGTAAGCTATGCATTGTCGATAGAATATGAGTCCGCTAAAGTAAAGGGATGATATGCATAACAAACTTGCAGCCCCATGTTGGCTGCTTCCCGCCATCATCATATCCTCTTTGGCCTCTCTCTCTCTCAACAAAAATTAGGGGACGTGATCTCATGTCGTCAAAAAATAAGGATGGATGCTTAATGAATGACAAATAAAGAGGGATGCCCAATAATCGACAAATAAGGAGTCTCACCCTTATTTGATTCACTAGAGATTACCCGATTCAAATCAAATGACCAAAATTGTTCTATCTAGAGTTTCTTTTGTTCGTGAAATAAAAAAAAAACCAGAGGAGGGTTTCTCTTGTCCAACAAGACAACCCTGTACGCGATGACTACCTCCGCCGATTCTGCGATGATGGAGAACCTGCCTTTGTGGGAGCAACTTTGGCAAAAGGAATGGTACACAAACTCGGACGGTCTCTCTTCTTGCTTCTTTCTCATTTGTTGGCCAAGCTGCAATCCTTTTTCTTTCTTTTTTCCTTTATGGCTTTTTTTGTGCTTGACTTTTCACCGCTAATTTCTTGTAAAGGTTCATATGTCATCGCTGTTTTTCACAAGAACCGTGAGTTTGTTTTCCTTGCTGTTAGAATATTCAATCCACTAGTGCAACCAAAAGAATATCTGTTCATCTAACTAATATTTTTTTATTGCTTTTAATGTGATTGGGGTTACAGATGGCATCAAATAAAGTTTATCCCTAAAATTACAATTGTATCGAATAATAAAAACAAAAGAGATATAATTAGAACATACCTTATAACTTTCCATTTCGTTCACTTCATTACGAAACTATCCATTTTCTTTCCTTTTCTTTCCATAGACAACCACTAAACTTTGCGCCTATGCGCATCACTTGCACCGACATAAAAAATATATAAATTTATAAGCTCTCTATAGAGTTTAGCAAATTGATCATCACTTTCAACCTCAAATTCTATTCTAACAAATTTCAATAATATGAAAGTTGCCATCCGAAGAATAATAACCACCAAACACATGGTAATTTAAAAGAACCCACCTAGCAATCACATATCAAATACTTTTTCATAGAATTTAAACTTCATTAATTCATCCCCATTCTCAACAATCACTGTTTATTTCTTAAATTAAGTCAAATCACTATTTTTTCTTGGGGTTAATTCTAGGAAAATCCCAAACTAGTACATTTGTAACAAATTTACCCAAAATTAATTTTTTGACCACCAAAAGCCTTAAACTGGTATATTTGGGACAATATTTTCCGTTAAATTGGATTAATACCATGAAATATCACAAACTGATATATTTATGATAAACGGAGGGTAAAACCCAAAACTGGTATACCCGTGAACTGCCACGTGTCATCCAACTCAGAAATTTGAGGGTAAAATTAAACGGAAATTAACAGAGGGTAAAATTGTCATATGCATATCAGTTTGGGGTTTTTGGTGGTCAAAACATTAGTTTGGAATAAATTTATCACAGGTGTATCAATTTTGGGTTTTTCGTGGTATTAGTCTTTTTTTCTTGCCATTCATCTATTAGTTTTTGGCCCAGTTTGCACTGACATACATGAGGAATTTTCTTTTTCCTATATGATTTGATAAATTTGACTTATCATGTGCCAATGTCAATTTTTAACTTTATATGTCAATGTGGAACATTAAAAAACAAATTGAGGTTTTGAATTAACGTTGTTGGTACATTAAGACAAATAATTTTAAGTACTATACTCAATTTGAGAAGTTGATGATGTAAACAGATCTTTCCATTGTATTTATTAAATTATATTATGAGGGAATTATCCAAAATTAATTGTATCATTTCGCATTTGGCAGGCTTCAAGTAGTGCCGGCCTTATTAGAGATTAATTTGAATTTTTATCTCTCTATATCTATTTTCTATGTATACATTTAAGTCAAAAGTGAGTTTGGTGTCACTGTTAAATTTTCCATCGAGCCTGAATTTGCAGATTGTTTTTAATATTGCAATACGATTTTGTTTCAAATAAAAAAGAAAAGATAATATCAAGTTTTATCTCTCTATATTTGTCTTCTTCGTCATTGAAAGAATAACAAAATGTCCGTCTAAAATTTACTTTTCAAATAAGATTTCGTATAGCGGTATGAAAATGAACATACTATTAAGTACTTTATGTCTCCATCTGATGAAAAATAACCGTGAGCGCGTGTATGAAAACCAATAGATTAATAACAGTAACTCATTCTAAGACTTTGCGGAACAATTCCGTTATAATCTCAATACCATCGTAATTTCAACTTCTCATCAGAAACTCATAATATCAATCTTACTTTTATTTTGATCTAACGTATGGATAATAATTATTCTCGATATGCTCGTCACCCGATGCTCAAACTCTTATCTTTTTATTTCTAATTGATTAGTAAAAATTTTATCTAATATTCAAATTTCCCATACTTGTCATTTAATGTTGATGGTGCCTTTTTTTTTTCCTTGAGTGCTATCCTGATTTTTCTGGATCTTTTCCTTCCGACGATCCAACGGATGACGTCACCATGACCCTTTCTTCCCTCCCGATGACGTCACCGCGACCTTGAGTCGGCGCCTCTTCTCCTATTTAAACACTCCCTCCTCGTCATAGGCTTCAGAAATCAATCCCCTCTGTTTGTCCAAGTCTCTCTCTCGGTTCATCATCATCATCGTCAAGCCCCGGAAGAAGAAGAAGATGCAGATCTTCGTGAAGACCCTGACCGGCAAGACCATCACCCTCGAGGTCGAGAGCTCCGACACCATCGACAACGTCAAGGCGAAGATCCAGGACAAGGAGGGGATCCCGCCCGACCAGCAGCGCCTCATCTTCGCCGGGAAGCAGCTGGAGGACGGCCGCACCCTCGCCGACTACAACATCCAGAAGGAGTCGACCCTCCACCTTGTTCTCCGCCTCCGCGGTGGCGATTTCTGAAGAGACGGGCATGTTCTCTTTATGATAAAAGTTAGGGAGTTCTCACGCGATTTCATCTTGGTTTCGTGGAGCTTGAAAGTAGCCATCTTTAGGCAGGATAAGCTTGTAGGTCATTGCCGGTTCTGGTGTAGTTTTTCTTTTTACGTGAATAATGAATGAGCGAACCTTTGAATAAGTATTTGACCAAAAAAAGAAAAAAACCTTTGAAAGAGTACGACTTGATCCTTTTTTTCTCTTGTGCGTTCTATATCTTCGAGAATGTTATTTCATAAAACATGTTCTGTATCACCTTCACATGATGTAATGACCAAGTTTTTTCCTGCATCAATCCTGCCCCTTAAGAATTCCGCTAAGCGCGAGAGTTTTCTAATGCTCCTAAAGAATTCTTGTCTTGGTGCTGCTGGAATGCTTTAAGATCTCTGGGGGTTTCCTGTTGTCAGATGGTGCAATGATGCAATTTTATGGGGTACTAAAGACGTTTTCTTGATAATGTCTTTGTTCATGAGTAAATTGATCATGAAGTATCTCTCTGTTCATCTCATGGATTGGTAGGATAGATTGTAAGATGGTGGGGTGGGGAAGAAGAGGAGGAAAATGATACAGTGAGAATTCGTGTCTGTCTCCTGCTGTGGAAATATTAGACAACTTGATTAAGCTATGTGCTCCCTTTAGTCTGGATCAGAGAACCAATGGCTAAGATTTCTCAAATTGTTGGGATATCGAAATTAATGGACAGAATAAGTTGGGTTTTAAGTCAGTTTTTGCTTTTTGCGTGCAGCGAGTGCATCCTGTTGCTAGATTCTAACAATGAATCCGCTGCTTAAGGCTTCGTTGTGATTTCGCCATAAATATGTTGGCTGTGGGGTGAGCAAAGAACCAGAACTGTGATTTTTTCTTGTACAAGTGGTTTTGTGGTAAGTAAGTTGTCTGCCTGAATTTGTTGGATTCATAGTTAGGTTGCTGAGTAAAGTGACATGACCAGCACATCCTAAACTTACAAATTCTGAACATTCAGCAATTTGCCGACGAGGCTTCTGCGATGCATTGGTGTTCTATTGATTGAGGACTCTGAAAGTTTAAAATGCCAATGAAGGCGATACTGTGAAACCGAAAGATCTCTGAATCTGGATCCAAATGCATCATATACATACAACTAAGTTGTCTGCCTGGATTTGTTGGATTCATAGTTAAGTTGCTGAGTAATGTGGCATGACCAGCGCATCTCAAACTTACAAATTCTGAACATTCTACAATTTGCTGACAAGGCTCCTGCGATGCATTGGTGTTTTAGTGATTGAGGACTCTGAAGGTTTAAAATGTCAGTGAAGGTGATACCGTGAAACCAAGAGATCTGTGAATCGGGATCCAAATGGATCATATAGATACAAATAAGAGGATCGAAACGTTTCTTCCGACTCTTTTTCAAATTCTATAAACGTTGGTTGATTGTATATTTTATTAGGGTTGGATGATTTAAAATATCATTTCCTATATGATCCTTTTTAAATTCCATATTCGAAGTCGTGATCTGATCTATTAATTGAAAAGAATCAATTCCATACATTTCTTATGTACCCATAGGTGCTATACTGGAATTGAATCAGATTTCAGATCCATATATTAGTTGACATCCATTTTTTGGTTGCTGCGCTTTGTTCTCCTATGCCTCCACGGTGGCAATTTCCGAAGAGGCAAAGTTACCAGTTTGCATGCTGTTTCATCTGGTTTCGGGGTGCTTGAAAGCAGTAAGCTCCATCACAGCAGTAAGAAAACCTTTCGAACAAAGTCTGTGTAGTTTTGTTGGTTTTCTATATGGATAAACGGACCTTATTTCATTACGGCTTTATCTTTTACGTGCTTCTCTGCATTTGCATGAAGTCACCTCGCTTTCCTAACATTATGAGGATTAAAATCCTCTGCTTGACGACTGCTGTGAGTTGCTCTATTGAACTCGAAAAATTCCTTTAAATTCTCCAAAACAAATTGTTTTACTGATCGAGAGATCTCAGAAGTCTCCTGTAGTTAAGAGATAATGCAATTTAGTGGAAATTGGATATGTTGTTGCCATTTGATGTTTATTATTGACATCGAAAAACAGAATGGATGCGTATCCAGCTCTACGCAGGCAGCCAGTATCTCGTTCCAAGACAAAAAAAATAGAAAGGCAGCTGCAGGTATGCAGCTTATTGAGAGTGTCCAGGTAAGCGGCCATTCTGTTGTTGATGTGGTTAGCTCATAAACGGCTCAACCTGGTTTGATCATCTGTTGCATGTCAAGAAATGAGTATGTGATTTTTATTCGTTGCTAATATCTGGTTCTAGCATATTGATTGTTGGCATTTTGGAATTGCAGTTAAACCTGTTGCTTTAGATGTTTTAAGGTGCTGATTCCGTATCGTAACTTTCCCAACACTGAGAATGCACGAAATGGTTGATTAGCAAAGCATTTGCTGGTAGTTAACTCTGGAATGACCGGCATATCTTAATCAGACAAACCGATTTTTGGGGAAGTAAGGTTCCTGACATGTGTCAGGTGTTCTTTTAAGCAAAGAATAGAAGTGATAAGTGACGGAACTCCACAGTTTGAGTTTGCGAGCTTCATACTTGAGATTTGGGAGTGAGTTAAGTCTGGTGTAGAGCATGACTTCAAGTTAACATGTCTGTACATGCTGAATAAATAGGGAGTATTCTCTCATCTCTGGAATCGGTTCATAACCAGGTTACTTTTTTCCTATTTATGCATTGTTCCCTTAAAATTTATGTACGGCTTTCTGATGGAAATTTCTCTTTTACTGTAGATTGGCCATAAAACAAGTTGAAGAATTTGTGATGTCTCTTCTTGTTTGTGTTCTCACAGGGTTGCCACTTCTCTATGGCCTTGCTGTGATCATTGCAATCTGTTCAGTAAGCATGCGGGGGCGTGATTATGAATTATAGCTTTTGGCTGGTTAAGTAATCTCTGAAAAGGAGTGATAGGGCTATAAGCCTTTTGACGGTTAATCTGGTGGTGTGGTGGTTGAGCTTGAGGTTAGGGCTATTCTCAAGCATACTGGGTAAATTGGGAAGACAACCTGGGAAATTAAGAATTTTCTGAGCCCAACAAATGGTTTATTCACCTTTTGACAAACATTATAAATACGGAAAGTTCTGATCTGAAATGTGATGAAATGGCTAGAACTCAGGATACTCGGAATACGACCTCACTAAATTGTGCTATAATTCATTTTTCTGCAACTGTGGGATTGTTGTGTAGTTACTGATGGAAACAAGGGAAGTAGCAAGTATGAAAAGCTAGGGCTACAGCTAGAAAGATGTTGGTTCTTCAGGGCAGGTTCTTTCACTTTCCAATTTATATAAATTTCAATGGAAATGCAAGATACGCATTTAAGTTTCTTGGTTAGTTTTTCACTTTGCATTTGCATTCAAACTTCTTGCAATCTCGGTTAGTCTATGCTTAGCATAAAAGGAAGGTTGCAAACGGATAGCATTGATAAACGTAGTCGAGCAGTGGCATTTTTTGGTATCGAATGAGGCAAAATTTTTGAGTAATAAAGTGTCGAGATTGCGAAGCTACTGGTAATCCATGGTTTCTTATTTATGAGTTCTATTTTCTTTGATCTCTCACCCCAGGGACCACAAGAACAAGAAGTTTTCTCTGGGAATAAAAAGAAGATAATGCAGCTCGGGATGTATGCCTTCAGATTTTGCAGCTTTGATGAATGAAGATGCTATCATCTAATTAAGAATGTTGCAGGAGCGCCAACACTATATTGTCGCGTAAGGGAGGACTGTTGCACTCTTGTTGATAGCAATTTTCAGAAACAGTGTACCTTGCACGTTGTTTTTTTCTTTCGCTTGAAGAGATGGGCCTGCTTTAGAGATGACAGAGCTAGGAGTTGTCATGAGAGTAGTTCGGTTTCGTGGTTGCGCTTGCTGGCTCCATCCTTTCGGCAGTACTAGATTTATCGGTCCCATACAGGCTTTGATGGTTCTCTATATGAATGAAAGAACCTAATGTTCTATCAGGATAAAAGCTTTGTTTCCTGCTTCTGATATCTCTGCATTTGCATGAAGTCTCCTGCTTTCAAACTGTAAAAATTCTCAGTGTTTCTCCCAAACGTGCCGTGTTCAGGCGACTAATCGAGGATGTGATGGAATGGAACCTCTGTTATTCCGTCGTAATGTGATGCGCAGATGACGTACATTGGCTGTTCGGGCAAGTGGCGATTTCGATTTTTTTTAAACTAATTTAGGAAGTACCGTAGACTTGACAAAATGAGCAATTTCTCAACTTATATTTGATGGGATACGTCGTTACACAAATTAATTATATTTAGTAAATTAGTTGACAACTTTCTTAGACCCGACCCGTCTTTATGACTATTTCTTTACTCTCTTTCTCGCTTTCGTTTAATCTCACACTCACTCATTTCGTGCTCTTACTTCAGTTTGAGTATATATGAGTATAGCTTTTTCTAGAAGGTTAATACTTCGAAAAACCTCAAATTGATACACCTGTGGCAAATTTTCCCTATACTAAGGACCCATTCGGTAAGTTGCCAAATAGCTGTTCTTTTGTTTCCAGAATCAGTTTTGGAACATAAATGCGTTTGGTAAACTTTTTGTTTCCAGAATCAGTTTTGAAACAGAATCAAGAAGTAAAAAAAAGTAGCTTCTTGATTCTTGAACAAAAATGATAATCTAAACTGGTACACCCATCAACTATCACGTGTCTTTCGATTCAGAAATTTAACGGTAAAATTGAACGGAAACTAGTGGAGGGTAAAATTGTCACAAATGTACCAGTTTGGGATTTTATCTTCTGTTTGTCGCGGGTGTATTAGTTTGTGATTTTCCGTGGTACTAATCCAATTTAATAGAGGGTAAATTTGTCACAAATATATAAATTTGAGATTTTTGGTGGTATTAATCCTTTTCTAAGTTGGATTAAATATGGGATTCGGGTCGAGTACGAGTTATATTATATGAAAATGGATCAAAACGAATTGAACGAATCAATTTGGGTCGGATCAACCCGGGAAGTAAAATTAGCCGAGGGGGGGTTTTGAAAAATTCAATTTCATCTTACAAGGGGCAACAAAAAATAATGATAAAAAAAAGAAGGGGCGTTTGGTTTCGCAGTTGTACAGGCTGGTTTTCAGCTCTTTCCTCTTCCCGAAACCGCTCTCGCCCTCCGCAGTCTTCTTCTCTCCGCGCTCGCTCGCTCGCTCCACCACCGTCGTCGTCACGACGTCGTCAAATCTCTCTCTCTCTCTCTCTTTCCTCTGCGTCTTCTCGCTCCTGCTCTTCACTGACGCACTCGGCATCTCCGGGAGGGACACACCGGGGAAAAAAAGGATGAGCGTGATCGACATCTTGACTCGAGTGGACTCGATCTGCAAGAAGTACGACAAGTACGACGTCGAGAAGCTCAAGGACTCCAATGTCTCCGGCGAGGACCCCTTCGCCCGCCTCTACGCCGCCGTCGCCTCCGACATCGACGCCGCCGAGCAGGTCCCCCTCCCTTCCTTCTCTCTCCAGATCTGAATCCCTCCCCCTCCTTCGCTGCCCCCCCCCCCCCCCTTTTGACTTTCGCTCGTCTCGTGAAATTGGAGCGAATCGGAAGGAGTCGAAACACTACGTCTCGGCTTTCGTTGAAAATGCGGTTTGCTTTATTGGAGCCCAATAGCCTAATAGTAGGGGAAATTTAGTCGGGTGGATGGAATGGAGGAGCTGATTGCGATGTGGTTTTTCCTTTTCTCTCTCGATTGCTTGCGTTACCGCTACTAGCTGATGGCGGTGGTTTTGCATTTTCCTTCTTGAGGAAATGGGTGTCGTCCTTGTTAATCTACTGACTGCTGCTGTTTGTTACGATCGTCTGTTATATCTGCATTGTTTTGTTTCGTACTAGAAAGTGGAGGCCGCTTCCAACGAGAAAAACAGGGCGTCCGCGGTTGCTCTGAATGCGGAGATACGGCGAACCAAGGCCCGGTTGCTCGAGGAAGTGCCTAAGCTGCAGAGATTGGCTATGAAGAAGGTACAATTCTTGGGTTTCTACTAATATGGAGATTGGATCTAGTTTTTGCTCTTTCAAACTCCGCTTGTTTGTTACTTTTCGGAGCACATGTCTTGCGAAATGCATAAATTAACTTAACTTTGGTTCTTAGACGAATGGGTCTTATTACTCTTTTATGTTTATGCTTACTCTCATTTTCGTTGTCTTTCTTTTTGTACTGAGCGACTGGTATGCATAGGATGCATTACATGCAATTTGGGAAAGTTCTTAGTGCATTACGAGCTTGGAGTCTAAACGTAGATGGTATTCCATAGCTTATGGCAACCGTCGGCCTTGTGACCACCGGGAAAGCTCCCTACTCAGTTGGGCTGACTACAACTAGATATGTTTAAACTCGTCAATTGCTTTTAAACATATTGTTTAAGTTCTGTGGTTTAATTGGGGTAAAAGATGGAGATACACTTGTGAGTCATGGGATTGGCAAGATGGACAAAGAATTCTAGACCTGTCCGTGTTGATCTACTTAGGTATGAAGTCTATGCACGCAACATGTGGTGCATACCTGCTAACTCATATTAGATTTCGAAGTTGAACTTCTTGCCCAGGATCATATCAATTTCCTCTGTAGACTCTTTAAATAAGGATTTCTCTGTATAACCTCTAATTGGCTGTTGATTATACTGGTATTTATCATCTAGGTTTTAGGAGGGTGGCGTATCTTTTATGCCTGCGTATCTCTTAACGATGAAACACGAACTTCAATAACGATACATTAAGAAATTAAAGTATTTCTATTCTTCCTGCTGGTCCATGATCTCTTGGTCAAAAGGGGAAGTTTCTGGTGTGGGAAACCAAATTTTTGTGAATCCAATAGCACTATCATATACTCTTGCGATGACAGGAGTGGCAGTTTTAGCTTGATGTAATAGGAGTGGTGAAGGGTCTTTTATGTTGTTGGGGATGTCAAAGACAGAAAAAAGAACAAAAATCAAGGGCTAAATGGAGAAGAGTTCGAGCTGCGATAGAAAATAGATCTTCTTGGATTTTGAGAAACGAATAATGTTTATCATGAAGAAGGAAAATTGATGACAAAGTCACTCAAAGACATAGTTATATTATTCATCTAGCTAGATCTCAACTTTTGATTAGACTTCAATAACTTCAAATCTCAACCTTCCAATCTCATTAAAAGTGGCATAATTAGTAGATGCGACTTGTTAGTGATAATAACATAAGAAAAGACTAATTAAAGAAGAAAAACACTATAAAGTACTCAGAATAATATTGCTCTTTTGCATCATTGTTCTGAGGTTAGAAAGACAAGCTCGGCGGTGAAGACTTCAGCATATTTTTATCCTCCTTGGCTCATCCTCTGCTATCCAAATGCTTCCACTTGCTGGTTTGCTTAGACATTTAACAAAAACCGTGTGATGGTGGTGACTTGGGTGAATTTCATGTCTTTGACATCTAAGTCTTCTTGAATGACATCTTTTTTGCACCTTTAGTAGATAGCTAACTTGATCTTGAACTGGAGGGACTTATTTGTCAAACCCCTCAAAAGCATATAAGTCGAAGACATTGAGAAATGGGCTGATCTTATAGTTCATATGGTAGCTTTATAACATAAGCATTAGTGTTAATTTCTTGAACACCCTGCAATGCCCAAACTTCCTTGACTTGAACATTTATCACCTCAAGTGGACAAGTTTTAGGTCTTCCTCCTAAAAATCCTTCACCTCGCGATGTTGATTTGTAGTAGCGTAATATGCTTCATTTCTATCCTCCAATGTTGCTCTTACCTTTTCCTGACCCAATTCGCACATTTTTTGCAAACACCTTGCCTTTTTCGTCGGTTTCTCTAGTCTTTACACCTGTGGAAGTGAAACCTAGATCAAGCATATGCAATGTTTTCAACACTTATTGCAGCTTGTACTAGGGTCTTCGTTATGCTTGTATTCACATAATTGTTGGAAATCTCAGCTTGTTGTGGGAAATCTGAGCTTGAGGAATGACAAAATCCTTGTTTGTTATGTATTTCGGCAAGACATTATAGCCTATTACACAACTTCTATACGCCACTTTATGTCTGACCTTCCGGCCGGGGATGGTAAGTACTATAATAATTCAATTGAGTCTCGAATATCCTATACAAAGTCCTCAAAAATGGCTCGTCAGCTTGACATCTCTATAAGATGTAATAGAAATTGGAATATCATTGACCTTACCTCTCCAAAGAACAACTCAATAATATTTGTTGTAACCTGTGCTAGATGATTTCGAATAGGGAATAAGGGGGCCATTTTTTGAAGTTGGTCCACAACAACAAGAATGGAATAATATCTTTTGTTGTTTCGGAAGTCCTAGGACGAAACGTATGCTCAAATGTAACCAAAATGCTTCTCACAGTGGTAAAGGCGTGTATAGATCTGTGTTTGGTGAATTCATCTTGCCACAATCTGAACACCTCACCAATTTGTGCATGTCATTGTAAACTAAATAGACACCGTTGCCATAATCTTAAAATAAATGTTGTTGCAAGCCACTACCATAAAGCTCTTTACTAACTTGTTCATTAAAGAACCTTCCAGAATGCACTGTTGGTTCCCTTCAAATAAGTAACCATCATGCGACTTGCAAGGCAGAGGTTCTAAATTTTCTTCTTCTTATAACTCAGTTAGGATATGGCTGAAGTAAGGATCAGTTGATAATGATTTTTGAGATCCTCAAAGCTCGTAATTTGGCTTCTCAATACACTTAAAAGTAGGATTCTCATTTTTAATGCATTTGCTGCTAGTTTAGATTCTTCAAACTTGTATAATCGTGCTTCAACCAAAAAATTGAATTGAATTACTCCCAAGCCTATTTAGTTAAAAAGCCTAGCCTAGCCCACTTGAGCCAACTCGGGACCAATGGCGATCACCTCTACAGTGAACAATTAAATTACTCCCATCTTATATCTTAATCAATTGATTCAATCCCGTTAGATTGCGAGAAGTCATATGTTCATGAGTCTCGGAAACCTACCCTTGTAGAAACGTGGGTGAACTCTAATTCATATCCTTTACCGACAAATGTTGCTTTAGCTAGTGGAATTACTCTCGCGATTTATTCTTTCTGTACTTCCGAATGCTGATTTTTGGCTTGCCTTGTTGTGCACATTGCTTCTTAAATCTCTTTCGCCGTTGAAGTTCAATGCCTGTCAATTTAAGCTTGATAAGCTATACCTTCCACTGATTTGCCATATGCTCCAAGCTTGCTTCGCTATACAGAATTTAAAAATATTGACATACAAATCACCATGTAAATCAGTAACTTTTACTTTGGTTCAACCATTATTGAGCATAAAGTAATAGCTCTTCCAACCCACCTCCTTTTGCATTATTTCATGGGCCTGGCATCACGAAAGGGATTTTATCTAATCCATTGCTATCATCCTGGACCATCTTCTTGCATGTCCAATGGATAGTGGTTGCCTTTCGAAATTTCCATTTGAGCTTTAACATGCTTCTGCCGCTGCAAATGTTGAATAGATTGTGGTGAATCTACAGTCTATCATTGTCGCTTGTGCTAATTGCCTCTTCCACAACTTCAGCCACACTCAACCATTTTGTCGAAATCAAATCCTAAATGCAAATGCGACCTTTTTCGGTCTAATTCCACTTGACGTCATTGGAGATATAAAAGTCTGTAAAAGGAGCCAATGCAAGAGCTGAACTTGAGAAGAATTGAAATAGGAACGAAAACTAGATATATTGGGTTTTAGAGAACCCGATTATGTTTATTGTGAAGAAAAAGCTACTAATTAAGTGACTTAAAACACCTGTCTTTTTTATGGTTAGAGACATATCTAGTTCTCAACCCTTGATTAGACTTTGGGTCTATCTAGATTGACTTTTACTTTTTGTTTTTTTTTAATCTAAATTTTGCGCCATACGCATTTTGTTCTTTTCTTTTAATCCGAAACCCGTGCAACTTTATCAACGCTCATATGTTGACAAATAGATTCATATATAATTTTTTCATAATTTATTGAAGTTTGAAATGTATTTTATATTTTGGCGGGAAAGCAAAATAGTACTTTTTACTTTTACTTATGTAACAAACAGGCCCTTAAACAAATTATAATCTCAACCACCAAATCTCATGTAAAGTGTTATGATTTTTACATGACCACTTTGTCCTAGGAACATAATAAACGGCTAATTAATAAAGAAAAAACCTAAAATAGTATAAATTAGTATAATGCTCCTCCATTAATCTTCTCGATCGGTCTTTCTCTGTTTATTTTGGCAATTTTTCTTCTATGATGGTTAATTTGTTACCACGTATTTCAACTGAAGGTGGAACTTTGACAACTTTTGGGTTCTTTTGTTCTCTATATGGTCTTTCTTTGGCCTGGCAACATGGGTCTGAAGTTAACCTGGAAATCTATGGTGTGAATGATGGACTTTACTGCCATATATATAGCTTAGCTCATAATCATCTTCTGTGGACTAATAATTAACCTGAAGCCCCGACCAGCTTTTGGGGCCTTAATTTAAATCTCAGACAAACTGGCTCACTAAACTCTGCAAACTTAGGAGAGATCCTCACTTTTTTGCCCCATTTCCAGTTCTAGCCTTATTATGGTAAGCTTTGCCACTGTGTATGTCAGACCCTCAAAATCTTCATCAATCGAAGTCAAATCCATACTTACAGGAACATGGGCACCAAATCAGTCGAGGAAGTTCCATTTCATCCGATAGTGGCCCCATGAATCCTGTTTAGTGGATGTAAGCATAAAATGCTTGGTTGAGTTGGGAATTTCAATCTTTGAGTTGTCTATGTTCACTCGTTAGTTGGGCATGAGTGGCAGGCTTGCTGTAAGATAACAGTATATCTTGGCCAACCTATCCATTGTTTGGAGCCTATTGGATGATTTCTGCCTTGCCATTCTGGCAATTTGCTCCCAATTGAATAAAGCTAAATCTATACATCTTTTCAATGAAGTTGTTGCACTTGGACATGAACCCTGTTTGGAGGATGTAAGCATAAAGTGCTTGGTCAGGTTGGGAATTCCAGTCTTTGAGTTTTCTACTTTCACTTGTTAGTTGGGCATGAGTGGCAGGCATGCTGTAAGATAACAGTATTTCTTGGCTAACCTACCATTGTTTGGAGCCTATTGGATGATTTCTGCCTTGCCATTCTGGCAATTTTCTCCCAATTGAATAAAGCTAAATCTATAGATCTTTCAAATGAGTTGTTGCACTTGGACATGCTATTTCCCTTCTTCACTCCAAGGTTTGGTAGAAAAAAGAGCCTACTAGTCATGTATTCAGTTTCATACTCTAACTCAATTACAGGTTAAAGGACTTTCATCTGAAGAATTTGCTGCTCGTAATGATTTAGTCCTTGCACTACCGGATAGAATTCAGAGCATACCAGATGGAACTGCACCTGCACCTAAAAAAGCTGGAGGTTGGACACCTTCTGCATCACGTGCGGAAATAAAGTTTGATTCAGGTTGCTGGTCAGATCTAGATGTTTGTTCTTTATATATTTCAACTTTTTAGAAAATGATTTCGGTTGGTGGAATGGGGGCTGTTCATCTGATTACTTAATACACGTTAATATGTTTTGTTTGCATTCAGATGGAAGAATGGACAGTGACTATTTCCAACAATCCGAAGAGTCAAGTCAATTTAGGCAAGAGTATGAAATGCGGAAACTGAAGCAGGCAAGTAACATTCTCAGATTGGTATTTTGCAGGGTTCACTGATCTTTGTGCTTGAGGAAGTTCTCTTCGTGCCTGGAATTGTTTGGGCCCACATTTCTTGGTGGCTCTAACTTGTTGTCCTTACAGGATCAAGGTCTGGATGTGATAGCTGAGGGTTTGGATACATTGAAAAATATGGCTCATGATATGAATGAGGTTTGTGCTGTTCTTGTGATCTTTTTTCTGCTGTTCCAGATGATTGCTTAACTTTCTGTGCCATGCGTGTAGGAATTGGACAGGCAGGTTCCTTTGATGGATGAGATTGACTCCAAGGTGACAAAATAGAACTCCTGATTTATTTTCTTCCTGGCATCACTTACCCAACTCATGTATTGATTCCTCCTTTCCACAATTTACTAGGTGGACAAGGCAGCTTCAGACTTAAAAAATACAAACGTCAGGCTTAAGGATACTGTTAATCAGGTATTTTGAAGTACAGTAATACCAAATATTAAGTTCTGCTAGAGTACTTACAGTCATGTACGGTCTTTTCTCATTGATAGTGAATTGTCTGATGAAGTTTTTGTTCTTCTTCCAGCTGAGGTCTAGCCGGAATTTCTGTATCGATATAGTTCTTTTGTGTATAATTCTGGGTATTGCTGCCTATTTGTACAAGTAAGCTCCATCTCTTCAAGTTACTTTTTACGAATCTATTTCTTACTATGTATCTCCAGTCAAATGTTTTAATTCTCCATCTTATCTGTGTATGTGTGTTAACTGTGTGTACTGTGTTTTCTGTGTTACAAGTTGTGACTTTTTTTTCTTCTTCATTTGTGGGATATTCATTATCATTTGTTCATGGTTTTTTAGTATCATTATCTCCTTTTTACTCGGTGCTGAGGCCGTACAAATTTTTTTTTAAATCCAACTGAAACGAATGGCCTTGGATAGAGTTTGATTGTCAGCTTCTTATATGAAATTATCATATTCTGTTTTGAAACGGCTCATAGTCTCTCTCTCTCTCTTTCTCTGTCTCTCACACAGACACTATTAGGCTAAAATAATTATAGAAAAAGCTATTAGGCTAATTTATAACTTCGTGTAACCACATTATCTTGTACTGTTTCCCGTTTCGAGAATGTCTAGTGACCTCATTGGCTTCCATTGGTGTAGATCTCTTGTGAACATTGATATTTTTGGATAGCCATGTGCAATTACCTTGCTCTTAACTTTGTCTCGATTGAGTTGGTGATTGACTATATGTGTCTTGTCAATATCGAGGTTCGGTCTGTCCCTTTATGTTCCCAAATTAACGTTGGGGTATTGTTAGATGATGAATCCAAATGACTGTCTAACTTCATAGAGAACTTGAATATAAATCACAATGAATGATGACTCAAAATGAGTAAAGTTCGTTTGGGCATCTCACCTAAAGCTTCCTAAACACCACAGTTGGGATTTCTTAAAACTCACAATTAAGAGAAGAATTGCATCACACCAGTCCGAAACAAACAATTGCTAGAACTCATAATCTCATGGACTTTTTTAAAGAAAAAGAATTACAACCAATATAAAGACACTACTGAAATCCTACTCCAACCTAAATAAGAAATATAAATTGAAATAGGAAATCTCTAAACAAGAATGTAATGTCCTGATAACAAGAAATAAAAATTGAATTCCTATTGGTACTCAAATTTTAATAAATAGAATTTTTATACGATTATAAGTTTTTAAGCTGAGAGAATCGATGGAACAACCCATCTAAAGGAGCTTTTGAGCCACCCTTCAAACTTCATTCGGTAGAGATGAAGGGAGATTTTTAACCAGTGCAGGAGAGATCACCAAATCTTCATGCAACGTCAGTTCAACAAATGTCAACTTGTTTGATCTTGTAGGCCACATCAAGGGGAAGTTCTATTGCGATTAGTATCAATAGCCAAACTAAGAAGTATTTTTTCCAGCAACCGGATTTCATAGTTATACCATGGCATAGGAACCAACTAACTGTGAACGTTTTATCGTGAACTTTATTAGTCATGGTCTAACCCTATGTTGTTTGCAATCCTGAATAGAGTGGTTAACTCTTACTGCATTATATCATTTGGACGTAGATATTATCCTGATTAACTCGGACTATGGTACTTTTGAGGACTTTCGTTACGTGGAGGTCAAAATAATATGTTGTCAGACATTTTCACTTCACTTGAAGTTAATAAATTGTTCTATGCCATCAACATTATGGTTGTTATCGCAACATGGTTAATTTTCGATGACTAGCTTTGATACTCCTGCCCTCATCTTGCTCGGTTTGGGTTAAACTGCAGCAAAGTTTGCTTATTTTTCTCTGCTTACTTATCTATAACTCCACACCTGCGCCTTCTGCTCATATTGTGCTTTCCTTGCAGTGTATTGAAAAACTGAAAGCGGCACCTTCCTAAAGAGTTGGGTTTTCTGCTTGTTTGGTACTTTGAGGACTTCTTGTGGTGCTTGTATTGATTCTTTTCTCATTGTATATCTGTGGTGCTCTCCCCCCTGACTCAGCAAAGGAATTGCTATTTCATGAGACAAAATTGTAGAAGCTATCGAAATTATTTTCTGTCGTGTATACCTTTTCATTTTATGGCTCGCCGATGTTTTAACAGTTTCCTGGATATGTTCATGAGTATCATTCATCCACTTGACAAATAATTGCATGTGATTCAAGGATAGATTCCATGGCAGTCATCTTCAGAGTATGAAGGATGAACTACGGTGCGGCTTTTATGGTTTGTTTTTTCATTTGGTTGTCTAAAGTGAAATATAAGGTTCGTTTTCGGAATTTTTTGACTTTCTTATATTTGGAAATGGAAAATTAATCGATTTACGGAAAACATTTTCCATAGACTGATAGTAATAAGTTTAGATTGGGGCAAATCAACTTTCCTTTCCAGGAAGAAGGAAATCACTTTCCCGAAATCACTAAACAAATGAAAATGAATAATTTTCTTTTATTCTGATATTTTCAGTGAAACAAAATCAGTCTTGATCAGCTAGTGAATATGCGTGTCCTAGTGCTGTCAAGCTTGGAGACGTTTCGATTTCGCGCAAACGTTGCGTTTAATGATTTTACCAGCATTTCACCCCATCAATTTAGAAGAGTGTTGATAGAAATTAGATTTTGAAGTGTTAGCTCCTTTAAAGGGGAAATGGAAGCTCGTAAGCTAAGGGTGAGTAATGACCTTATGTTCTGGCCGGAAAGGAAAACAATTCATCAAATACATGTTCCATTGATTTTTGGATCGCCCTCTTCGGCGATACCACATGGCTTTGTCTTCTTCCTCACCTCTATCTCCATCTCAAGAGATAGAAAAGAAGAAATAAAGAAGCTGGACCACATACCCCTCTTTGCATTTTGCTTGGATCTATTGGCAATGTTGGTTACCGGATTAGTGCACTCAATGATTGCGCTTAATATCAACCATGTGGAATGAGTCGACTCAAATTGTTTTTCTTGAAATCGACGTGGTCTCAAAGTCTCGTGAACCATGGCACACTATACACCTTCTATAAAAGGGCTCTTAGGCCAATTCATTTGGAACAGATCGACTCTCCCATTCACTACAGTCCAAGAACATGGAACATGACGAGAACCGCGAGGGGGACACGATAAAGCCAAGTTGATGCTCAAAAGATTCGATTGGCATGTTGTTTTCTCCTTGGAATCTCATCATCATCCGACATTCGAGTTTTCTATATAACTCTAATGTGATGTTTTTATTTATATGTTCTTTCGTCCCTCTCCCATATAATTGATCCTATCGAACAACTATGCGTATATTTCGTTTCACTTCCGAGATGCATTTTCTAGTGTATACTTGTTCGCCCTTTTCTTCGCGTTTTATTGCCGTTTCCCGATCCGATTCTGAACTAAAGCTCAACAGTCAGGACTCGCGAGAGCAAAAATCAACCTGGAGTCATGTAAGTGATCGCATGTTCAAACTTTTTGAAACGAGAGAGCTCTTGGAAGGTGATTTGGAGGGGTTTCTTCTTTACCATTCAATGCAATTTCCAATATGTTCTTAGTACTATGTCATGAATTGGTTCCACTTTCGACCACCCAAATGAATGTAGCATCAACGAGAAGTCTACACATTTATGTGTGCATATCAGTGGGTGTCTGTACATATTTGTACACATTGATGTATTACTCGGACAGTCAAGGCGAATACACATTTCTATATACCAATCATACTAAACAGCTTTCAACTTTCGTTATGCTAGTCCGCTTGAAAGGTACTTAGGATTTTTATTAGGTGTAATATTTGAGGTATACATTCATCGTTGTATAATTGGCATGGGGAAGAATTCGCTTGCATTATTATTTTCGAGTATACGTGTTAATCATCTAATGCTGAATGTGTAGAAAGTTCGTTACACTGACGGTGGACCTAAAAATTATCCATTCTTATTTGGCCATAACTTATGAGCTAACTCGTGTGATTTTAGCAAATGCCATCATTTCTTCAATAAATTATAGGCATAGGATAATTTTTCGGTCTCGTATAGGGCAATAGAGGACCTGTCCCATTCAAACTGAGCCATTATGTAAAGATAGAATAAATTTTGACCGTCGAGTGATTGTAGATAGATAGTAACTTGCGCACATTTAAGAAAAATAGATTGTCAATTTTACTATTGATTAAGGAAAACTACACGAAGATAATTACTCATTGATAGGGCTCTTAAATTTGGGAACTATAAAGCAATGTGATGATCATTGAGGTAAAATAGTAAGAATAGCGGAAGAAGAATTTACTGTAAATTCAGGTTGTTTGCCATGGAAAGAGAAGCCAGAAAGTTGAGATAAATTACGATATTAAAAGGATAATCATTAACTTGTCATTTACAATGACTTAAAAGAAAATCACAGTTGTTGAGAAAAATTACTAAGTATAGGTAACGTCGTGTGCGGGGATTAGTGGTGTTTAACTGTGCTATTGGTTAATTATTAAGTGTTAACATTTTCACGTTACAAACGGTGACTACATATTAGTTACGACCCGTAAAGTTAAATTACTATATATACATTCGACTAATGTTCCGAAAATTTTAGCTAAATTATGATATATCTCAGGAAAATTACCTAACTTGTACAACCGGTCCACTCTTTTTTTCTTTTCCACGGGACCCTAGTAAATAACTTTTGGGCTCCGTTTGTTTCATGGAAATGAATGATTTGGAAAAACATTTTCGTAACAACGATTACTTGTATCGCTTGAAATAACTAATCAATGGAAAATATTTTGATTATTAACAATAATTTATGTCTAAATATTTTTATGGACGATAAAATTATTTTTCATTTATTCATTTCTGTAAATGATATAAGTGAACGTTTTTAAGAAAATTTTTTTCAAATTATTTATTTTTCGCGAAACAAACGGAGCTTCAATTCACTGTTTTATTTTTCTATCAACTTTATTATGTTATAGGACCAGAGAAACTCCAAAGTTTCATAAGTTCCGGAGCAATCACTAGAAGACACTTTTTTTTTTTCCATAAATTAAGAATACTATATATCAAACGACGATGATCACTTGTATGCATTCAAAGAGTCAAAATACTAAATCAGAAATTAAAAAGAAAAGTTGAACTCTTTCTACGACAAATAAGTACACAGGTATTTTTAACATTCCGACAGCACCAAGCCAAAGTGGAGGTTCAACCAACGTGTCAGTAAATACTAAAAATAATTACGAGAGAACAAAATAGCAATAATAAAAGAAATTATATAAATATACAAGCTCCTGCTGAAACCGGGACTCTAACGCTAATATCTGAACTTTCTTGCGGCATGTTGGGCTTTATATATTTTATCGAAAGCTGTGTTAAATTAAAATGGATGATTAATTTAATTTCTACAGATTGCAGCAGCCAAAAATTATAAAAGAAATTAGACTTGAGCTGCTTGCGCTTACTCTCTCTGTTGCCAAGAATTTTTAGACGAAATTGAAAATTAAAGTTTCAAATTGGTCCCCGTCGCGAAATTTGATTGCTGTTCTTGATCAACTATGTAACTACGCAGATCTATGCAAATAAAATAGATACTCGATTTTCGTGATTAATTGAGTTTTTGGTAAACTCATTAATGTTTCTATTTTCGTTTAAAGAGGATCTAAAAGGAATTATAAGTTTTAATAGTAATATCTTGATTCCACCTTGGATTTTGATCAATGTCCAATTGTCAAATGCATAATATTAAGGGTTAATACCACGAAAACCCCAAACTGGCATACCTCTGATAAATTTACCAAAAACTATTTTTTTTGGCACAAAACACCCCAAACTGGTACACCTGTAATAATTTTACCCAAAACTATTTTTTTGACTACCAAAAACCCCGCATTGGTGCACTTGTGATAATTTTACCCCGAACTAATTTTTGACCACTAAAAACTCCAAACTGGTACACCTGTGACAAATTTACCCTCCGTTAGTTTCCGATAAATTTTACTGTTAAATTGTTAAGTTTGATGTCATGTGGTAGTTGACGGGTATAGCAGTTTGGGATTTTACTCCTCTGTTTGTCATGAATTTACCAATTTGTGGTTTTTCGCTATATTAATATAAATTTACAGTAAATTTATCACAAATGTACTAGTTTGAGGTTTTTAGTGGTCAAAAAATTATTTTGGGGTAAAATTATCACAGGTGTACTAATCTGGGGTTTTTGGTGGTCAAAAAATTAATTTGGGATAAAATTATCACAAGTGTACCAGTGTGGGGTTTTTGGTGGTAAAAAAAAATAGTTCGAGCTAAAATTGTCACGGATGTGCCAGTTTGGGATTTTTGGTGGTCAAAAAATTAGTTTGGGATAAAATTGTCATAGGTGTACCAGTTTAGGGTTTTTCGTGGTATTAACCCTAATATTAATCTAATTTCACATTTGAGAAAAATTTTACTGTCCATGCGATGTTTTCAGTATAAATTTAAATTTAAATAAATAGAATTTACATCTTCTAATATTTAATAAATAAAAGGTATAGAAACATGAAAAAGGGGAACAAACCCATGTAGCTTCGATCCTGGTACCTAATGTAAAAAAAGTGAAGGCCCAACATGCTAAATTAGAAGTTTTGCAACTATAATATGAAAAATTAAATTTAGTTGGTTTAAAGGTCCGATGAACTACGTACGCATTACATGCTCCAGAGTAGCCGACCCATTTTACTAACGTTTTAGTGTATTGAACTGTAAGAAGGGTTTTAGATCCTCAGGTTATGTTGGCCTGAAATTTTTTTTAAAAATAAATTGCCAAAATGTCCCTTATTTGTGTTCCATTTGCTTCCTAGATGTGACAAACTCATGACTAAATGTAGAGGTGATCGGTTCCCAGTCCAGTCCAATTCCACTTAGGAATCGAGAATCGGCTCATGAGAATCGGTTCCCAGTTTCTAGGATCGGAGACCGAACTAACAAGTCTTGGAACCGAAAGCCAGACTGTATCGACGGTCCAGTCCAATGGAACATATCAATGTAGAAAGAAGACGTAACTTTCGACGAAGAAATGGTCAAGATGTAGAGAATGAAGCTAACATGACCTCACAAAACAATGGGGACAAAATATGGGATGAAAATAATTATATCAACATTCCTTTGAGA